CAAGTCAAACAAAATCAAATTGATCACTGAGCTGAACAGAAAATTCCACTTGTAACAAAACGAGGCACTCATCCATGGTGACTTGTCGGTTTGTTGGGGTCATCGGCTGTCTGGCAGACAATGCTCCATGCAGCAAGGGGGGTAACCGTCTTCCAGTTTCCAAAAGTCCAACAAAAATTCGAAAGGTATTCAAAGTATTCACAGTTTGTTTTCTCAACAAAATGAAATTCAGAAGAATTCAACAAATTGGCAGAAATGAAGTCCATGTCTGATGTGAAGATGGAGCATGCATGATGTTGGACAGGCGGCAAGCAACAAAGCTTAATGTAGAAACTAAAAACAAAGTAAAAAGCATGCAACTGAGTGCAACACTCTAAAAACTGCTCAATGACAGCTATCCTCAAAAGCAAGCTTGACACTGTATATTATGTTATGGCGTTACAAAACCTCCTGCATATCACAGCTTTAACGTTTGATACCCTGGTACTCAAATAACTACAGGTGAGGACAACACATCAAACTAAAAAAACATCAAACTACACTGGACAGCAAAAGAAACATGCCAGTAACCAAGTTGCCGTGCATGTCAATTTCGTCTTTGTTATAAAGATAATCACTTGCTTTCGGGCATGTGATTAATGAGGGGTATTGCAGCATACTTGTGTACAAAAATTGTTTATTTCTACGGAGGGAATTTTTATGTGTGGCCTTTGACAGAAGTAGCAAGTTTCTTTTGCTGTCCAGTGTATAAACAAAAAACGCATCAAGCAAGGACCATATTAGGCTTTACTCCTTAATAATACATCTAGCTATGAGTAAGAAACAGATCTTGCTATGCAAAACTGATTGCTACTATGAACAAACATCATCAACTCTGTATTGATCATCACAAATACTCATTCAGATTTTTTTTCGGACATTTTCAAGATTAATTCAATTTTCGTTATTAGTCTTAGTATTTAGACAACCACATTTTCCTCACCTGCAATGAACAAGGACAAGAAACAAAAATCATTAACAATCTTTCATGGAGTCTGATATAGTATGCCCCTCAACAGTGCTATTGGTTTACCGAGTCAATTTCAGAAAACACTTTCAAATGTTTCTAGAAGAAAGGAGTTCACTCCTATACAGAATTATGGTTTCCAACTGACTGTTGAGTTGGTCCATGTGAGAGGTATGTCTTACCATGCAGTAACAACACCTATTTTACATTGAATATTTCAACTCAAAATTAAATAATATGGGTAATCCCTGATTAAGTGTGCCATCAAGAGATTGCTACAGAGAGGCTATTTTTTTGCAGTGCATTGTGGGCAATGATCAAATTCTATTTGCTGGCTGGGCGCAGTGAACTTGAATTATGCCAGTGTTCGTCAGGGAAGAAGATTTCATTAAGTCAGCGCTGAAAGGTCATTATCGAAAAATTGCACTAAAAGGTCCTTGTTGAAAAGTATTGTTCCAAACATGAATTTTAGCAAGAAAATTGTTTAAAATGTAAATGTTGGACCAAAAAACCCTAGTTTCGTAAGTAAAGTACAAAAATAGTCTATTTCAATAAAATTTTTCATTTATGCTCAGAGTACGGCCCTGAGAGTATTTTCAAAAATTACATGAGCCAACAGTTTGTAATTGTGTCTCAAGCAGCAGTTTGAATTGATTCTTTCTCCTCTTTCTACAGTACAGAATGTCTCCATCTATCAAAAATTTCCCTGAGTTGTAATCTGACATATGCTTGATTGCAAATTGCGGCAAGGCAGCCATGCTTTTGTCAACCATAAACTTGAAAAATGGTCACTCCCTGGGGAACTTCTTTGTGGCGCACTGTATTGTGAGCAGCCCCTACATGTATATGTATGTAGCTAGAATCCTCCTCACTTTTACTACAAGCTGCTTTCCAATGCCAAATTGAGGGAGTCTTTAATACTAAAATGCAAGGCTTGTAACATTTGTGTCTTACTTCAATAAATCCAAATTAATCTGTGAAATGGAAACAGCCATGCTAATAAACAGGCAAACTGAAATATCTACAAGGTTAAGCATGCAACCATCATTAGCAAGCAATGGGGTCTTTGATGAAATCCATTTAGGATTCTCCATTGCTTTAACATAAGAGGGGAAAACTGCACACTCCCTAAAACAACCAAACTGGAAAAAAGAGCAATGTACAGAGCATGAGGACTGATGAAAAGGAATTTGGCAATAGCACCATGTGTCAATAGCTGTTTTGAGATGCATGAGGTTTCAAACAGTCCTGTCTGTCTTGAGGAACAATCAACATAAGGTTATGTCCATAACATTGCACTAGCTCAGTTCCAAGGTTTCTTGCAAATCTCAAACAATGTCATCATGTTTTGACCAACAAAACTCTAATTAAAGGATCCATATCCTATTGCTAAAGGAAGCATTTCACACTGCCTCAATCTTTCTGTCCTGTAACAATAACATATACATGTTGTGTAAGGTTTCCACCTTCAGATACCTTACTTGTGGCTTGGATGTGTTTCTTTATAGATGGGATCTGGAACTTGGATGTGTGACACAATAAAACAAAATGCCATGAGCTCTGAGCAGTGATTTTTAAAAGTTGTGGTCCACTGGTTAAGGTCACTATTTTAAACTGCTTTTAGATTGAAAAGGAGTACGAAGCTTGTGCCCTTTAGCGAGACCTTTTTCTTGCCAAGTTCATACATGACAAAAATTCTGGGACCATTCCTCTTGCCTGTGTCAATGTAAAGAGTTTCTCTGATTGTTTGTCCATGGAATATCAGTGGATCAATGCTTTCATCACTGAAGGTGTAAGCAAGCTTTTTTTGCCTTCTGTCACTTTCTAGTGTTGTAGTTGTGTCTCTCACTCGTACTGGCATTCTTCATCCGGTGTCATGTGGGTCTCAATCTATTCAACTGAAGTGTGACCAAGGCATTCCTTTGTCACTGTTAATCCTGTTTAGTTGTGACCATACTTGTGATTTGATTTGTGATGGAACTGACAAGACTGTCATCTTGGCCAATATTTATCCATCAACTCTGGACAAATTTGAAATGCTCTCATGCTTGATTCCTAATTTCCCTCAAGAAAATGGGTATTTCTTCACCTTTCCTCTCTGGATTTTGCAAAAGCTTGTTAACTTCAGTATTTTAGGAAATCCTTAATTCTTCATGAGACAACTACCCAAGGATCATTGCTTAGCCTTGCAGCAAGCAGAATTCATTAAGTTATGACTTAATGAGGCAACACAGGAGAATCTCTGCTAATCTACGCTAACCAACACCCAGCAGATAGCAAACTGCAATGTCTTCCTTGTTTGACAAGTACCTATCATAAGGTTAGTACAGTGATCAAGATGCTGAAACCAACTCTGTGGTATGTGTGCTACGATTAGTATCAAGGAATGAAGTGCTAATGAAATGCATTTTGGGACACAGCAATACCCAACGCATGAACTTCCAGAACTGTGGCATATTTTGTGCATCATTTTCAATTGGTGTTCATTTATCAAAGTCACGTAACACAAGCCAAACTTCTCAGTGCTACCCAAACCACATGTACTCCCAAAACGAAACATGGTTTACTGCAATTGTTATTAGCAACTTGTTTACCAGTACAACTGAGAAATATTCAAATGTCTGCACACAGTGCAGTGTACATGTAGGGTTCTGCTATTAGACAATGATGCACAAGATGGACACACAGCTACATATCAGACATTTCTTGTAGAATGAGCTGTTTCATGATTTGCTTGTTTTTCAGATGGATATGAGATCTGCCACCACAACTAAGGACTAACATCAGCCTGCAATGGTAGGCAATTTTTTTGAAGTAAAGAGAGTCTCTACATCAAAGGAATCACACAATGTGCTTCTGCTTGTGAATTCTGAATATGACTTCACTCAGCAGGGTTAACCTATTTCTGCTGAATGCTTGTTGTGTGTCCTACAGTTGGTGTCAGATCATCACTGCTCAATGGTTGCATAGCATGATAGCAAATCATAGGAAGCACGGGGTGATGCAATGAACCAGCTCAATGTGATGGAAACCAGTCAACAAATATATGATGTTTAAAGGGAAGATCAAACGTGAGCGGCTATGGACTATGAGGATAAAGACCAAAGTACAGCAGTTACCAAAATCAAAAGAACAGGGATCTGATGGCTAAATTTTGGGAATTTTAATTGTTTGATGCAACTGGGAGCATTTCTTGAGGTTTTTAATTCACGTGAAATAAATTTTCACACGAATGGAAAATGCTCTGAAGCAGAAGGCTGAGAGGTGCCAGACTAAAAGACTTTAACAGGATGAAACTGTAGGTGCTGTACACACTGAGGTTTTCCACAGTATGCTGATACATGTATATCACTCATGGTTTCCATCACATCTTGCACATGGTGAGAAGTACATACATGTTTGCTTCAGATATGCCAATTTAAGTTTGTTTTCATGATCTATTTCATAATTTGAAACAACTGAGACTTTATCATGGGCACTATTATACTTGGAGGAACAGCGCTATTAGTGAGACACATTTTGGCTGGGGAAAAACAGATTCAGAAAAACATTCACGCAACTCAAAGCTATTTCAAAGAAGTACATTTGCTGGCAAACTTCACGAACTATGAATTTCACGACAAAAATCAAATATGCACGGAACTTGAGCAAAACATGAGACATGGAACAGGATATCTCTGCTTTTGGGGAGTTCCTTCAAATTTCTTGCTGTAATGTGTTATTATTATTTCTCAAGCAGAAGCTTATGTCTTAATAACCACTGCATTTTTTCCTTAGAGAAGGCAATCAAGTGAAGCGCATTTTGAACAAAACCAGACAAGAATTTTGCTGATGTTTCAGTGACAAGACACATATTAGTATATTTCTGCCTGTTTATATACTTGCCAGCCAAACAATATCTCACTGAAAACTGTGCCCTCCAATATAACATCAAACATCGTGCCCCTGCCCCCTCCTTGTGCACTGAGACAGAACCAAACCAGAGAAGTCTTACCATGGCTGTTATATAATTCACTCTCGGTGGAACTACCTGCAATAGCGCTGAATGCGCCAGCGCCTCCCCCGCTGCGCCGGTAGTCCTCCTGCTGCAGCACTATCTCTGGGGCCGGGGTGACATCACGACCGGCCATGTCTGGAGAGAATTCAAGGATGCCTGTGCCGCACTCCTCATCACTGGAGTCCAAGGTAGCTGAGCTGCCCCCGCGGTTTTGCGAGAACTTCTTGCGGCGGTTCTGTACCACAGCGACCGAGGTTGAGTCCTTAGCAGCTCCTGATGGAGATTTGGTGGTCATGAAATCAGACTGAGTCATCATTATCATGAATAAGTAGCTGTTTTTGAGTTGCAGCTACTTAAGTACAGGGTCTAAACTAGAAAAAGGAAACTATATAGTACAATCAGTTATTGTTATAACCATGCTATATAATCATTTTGTGTATTCATTTTCCCGAGACATATCAACAAAAGATTGTTTTTTATATTTCTCCCTTTGATGTGTTCAATTCAAGTGGGCTGACAGATGTGAGGTCATGAATTTCAAACGACTGTAACAACAAAGTCATGTGTAAGATTAAATTGAAACTTCACAGCTGTACTGAAATGAGTGACTTAACATGCAAGCCAAGTTTCAAACAGATCAGAACAGATCAGATGTGGGACAGGTGAGTTCTAGGCCCTCCCCCAGCTGAGATGGTCTGAAAATGCTCGGCTGTTTTTAGACTAAGTCCCAATGAGGTCAAAACATATGAACCATAATTTCCACCACAAACAGTTAACTAGACTCATTTTTCCCCTGCAGCTGTTGTTGCTGTGATTCAATGATATGTAGGGTAGTCTGGTGCCCTTTATGCCATTAGTACAGTTTCTCTCATTACAATGGCAAGTGAGCTTGGTACATATTCCTTATGATTATTAGAGAGGATCATTTATGCAGTTAGGACTGTGTGATTACCCTTCTTTTGATAGCGGCCTTTCCTCTGTCTAGTCTTCTCGTGTGTTTGTTTACTCCCTGCTTGGTTTTTGAATTCTGCATCTGAAGAATTCTCATTCTCGTTATCCAGACCTTTTAAAGCAATGTCTTCCTGTTAAATGATGAAAAACAAATCACAAACAACATCTTGAAATATGATGCCAAGTGTAACAGTCAGAACCCAGTGTTGTGACCAGTGACAAGTTAACAACAGTGGAAAGTGAGAAGGGAAAGCTTTTGTCTCGGTTCATTTGAAATGCTTGTGACCTGACTTATGAATGAACGATGCAGTGGACAAGTACAGATTTGACTGGGGGGACTTGTGATGGATTTGACTACTACTCTGAGAGAAGCTGTGGCTATAAACTGATAATAATAATTTCTACTTAATAACTTCCTGCAAAAGTTGATTGCATGTCTTGTGGAATGGAACAAACAAATGCAAGAACATGACCAGCTTGTCTATGGCTCAAGGTAGACACTTCACTTACATCCCGAAGCACAAAGGTGATTTCAAGGTTTTTAGCAAACTGATGGTAGAACTCCGGGTACATGTCAAGAATTTCTAGCAGGTCTTCCCTCAGGATTTTGTGCAAGTCGCAGTACGTCAAGGCTCGCACGTTACACTTGGACTTGCCTACAGTGTCGTACTGACAGAAGTTTTCCCCAAAGACATCATCCTTCCCTGTAGTAAAGCACAAATACCAGTGATGGGAAGCACATGTCTTGTTCACACCATAAACCCTGTTGAAAACAGCGATTCCTAACTAACGTGACGTTAAAACAAAGGATTTTACATGATAGCGTATTGACCACATCAAGAGTAATGACAAAGGTGACTCTTTCTGGAACAGTAAAATTACATAAGATGTACAAGAAATCCTGAACTGTAGATCTGACCTTCACATCACACACAAATATAGGGACCAATAGGCCCTCGTCAAAACCTTTGATTCCTACTGGTTGCTATGTTCAATGCTGATTTAACTATCTTTGTTCGACTAAGGTGCATTTTAGTGGTTATGACCAAAACTTGAAGTGGTTGTTTTTAATTGCGATTTTCTCTGGAAATTTTGAAGGGGCAAGAATTATATTTGATGTAAAACTTGAATCCAGTTCTTGGTTATGACTGCCAAAATGCACGCCTGGCTGGACTTACTGTCATGCACATTTACAACAAGAAAATGATGCTTAAGTGCATGTGTGTGTAGATATTTTAGAGTTCGGGTATCAAGTTGTTAGGAAAGTCGAGATTGAGTGACAGGAACATTATTTGTCCCCACAATGTTTCTGGTCCCCAAAACATTTACATGTAAGTTTCAACATGTACATTGTAAGTTTTCCCAACTATGGAATATGAGTGTATAACCCACCCATAGAGAAGTTGAAAGAGTTGTGGGGACAAAAATTGGTCCCTGTACTGTTTTTACATTCCCACAACATCTTCTATTCAACTGCAGAACACGTATGGGTGTGCACGGCTGTGTAAGGATTTTACTGGAACCACAACTAATCCTAGTGAGGCAGGGTTGCAAGCATTTGGCAAACATGCAGTTTTCTTTGTGCATGAGCCCCACTCAACACTGGCACATAATGTAGGCTGTGTGAAATACTTAATCCAGAAATCATGTTCTATCAATTCTCTGCGTGCAAAACAATGACGTTGAAAAATTCTTCCACAAAGTATCAGAGATCTAGGGTAATAAACCCCCAAAGGAATCCAAATGCCACCATTTTGGATCAGGTTTTGGGTATTAAGGTACTTGTCACAAGCCAAGTTGTTAACATGGAAACTACTAAAGTTCTTGTGGGCATGTATGTTTCGAGCCATTCTCAGTCTCAATATGCCAGCAGCATAATGAGACTGTGCTCAGACAACCGAAACACCAACTACAGCCTGTTTCTGATACAACTCAGTATTCCTCAATACAGATGATTCACAATAGTGCGCCCCCAAGAGTTTGCAACGTGTCGGCCAATCATAACGCGCGAAATTTGTTGACCCTTTCCAAATGCACATTGGGTCGACAAATTTCGCGCATTGTGATTGGCCAACACATTGCAAACTCTTGGTGGTGCACTATTGTGAAACAACCGTATTCTACAGCCATGTAAATATATCATGCTTTAAGCAAGTATGATCTATTTTTCAAACTAAACTTGTTACTAAATCTATATACAGCATAAGAATTACGCATTTTTATGTCATTAGTTTTATTCCTAGCCATTCATGTACTTGTTTTCCACCATTTTCAAAGTCTTGAGGTGCGACTTCTCTACCATGTGATTCCTTACTGCCCTAAAAATGTTTTATTCACCAGTAGAGTTAGACTTGTCTTAACCCCTCTGCTTGACATGTACAGTGTAAAATTTTCCACTGTTATTCTGAAGTTACATTTTGGAGTCTACTTTAATAAGCTGAGGTCACACTCATACAGGTTTACTTAGAAAGGATGTTGAATTGGTCCCTACAATGATTGGCCCATTCATTCCCCATGATTAACCAGGCCTGATGTACATGTAAAGCCAATTGTTTACTGTTTCTGAGAAACAAATCAAGTTCTTTCAAAAGGCCTACTGGCAACCAGTTGTCTTAGTTTTTCTTATGAATTCCTGCTTATAATCTTCATTTGGCATTTTAGTTAGATTGTTTCATAGCATGTCCATTTTCTTGTTCTTGATTTACAGATTTTTGACCGGATGATACACTTGGTTTCGCATACACACTGTGTAAGCTTTAGTTTCTTTGTCTTTGGTTTTAATTTCCTTGATTTATTGTAAGTTGGCAATAGTCACTGTTTTTAGTGCCTTCCCCTTCAAGATAATTAAGTTCATTGGTTGGTTTCTAGGGTTTGTTTTGACATTTTTGTGAAAAAAAAACTTTTTTTGTCCTCTTGTTTTGAAACGTAGAGGTTTGTGTGCTTTGTCTCCATTAATTCAATTTTGTGTGACCATTTTTTTCAAAGATCCTTAATTTTGTTAGTTTTTTCGGTAGTTCCAATTCCCCACTGCTGCCATTTTTCCGAGTAACAGTTGCAGTCAAGTCTAAATCAGGGCCATGTTTTATAATGTTCATGAAACAACAATAAATGTTTCTCATGTCATTGAAAACCCATGACAATGAGTACAGGCCATAGCTGCTTGCAATTTAATTTAATTATTGTAACTGTAATTATTGTGAGAATGTGAATGACTCCTTTTGTTCGAGTTTTTATCCACACATTGTATGTTGCGACCTTTTTTTCCAATTAATGAATAATGAAAGCCCTGGCAATCAGCACTCCACTTCCAACCTCCGCATAGATTCACACATAGATCTTACAAACTTGTGTCAAAGAAATGCCAGGACACTGTGATTATTCACAGTTGTGAATTCACTTATGATTATTTAAACTAATATCAGTGGCCATGCAAATACTATGTAAAAGGTAAAATAGTGAAATCTATCCCCTTTAACCCTACCAATTTTGTATTGTCTTTTGCAACAGCAAACCTGTAGCTTTTAAAACAACTGGTGCCCTATTAAGCACATGTTTTGTTCTTTGTTTTCCAACCTCCCCCTAATTAAGGAAACCATGCCTTGTCATTTACAAACCTAGTATTGCTAAGACCACATCATCTTTAAGGATCTCAATAGATCCTCGGCAGATGAAATACAGTGCAGAGAGCACATCACCCCGATGAATTAAGGTGTCTCCTGGCGGAGCATGGGTAGTCTTGAACTTCATGGAAAATGCTCGCAGACAACCTGGGCTGGCCCCTTTGAATGCCGCGCAGTTGTTAAGGAGGTTACGGTTCAGGTGAAGGCAGATATCAGCTTGCAGGCATTCTGGGAAGCTTTTGAGAACCTGGCAAGGAAAGGAAATGAACAAATGTATTGGTAAACGGACAATGCAGTGTGCTTCATATGGAAAATTCTAGTTCATTCAATAAGCTTATTGAGAAAACAATGACTTTGGGGGATATTAATCACAACATGGCCTTGGCAGTGGGTGTCTGTTTCAAAATTCTTTGACCAAAACGACCTTTACTTGGCCGTTGAGAACACTTTCCATGAAATAGTCCCATTTCAGACCGTTTCTCTTAAAGGCATATAAATCTACGCTCAAGTGGATTTCTACCTGATGATAAATTTCATTTCTGTTCATCCAACACTGCATTTAGCACCAATTACAGGATGAAGTGAAAATTAAAACACTGAAGAAATGTTCACTTTTATAAATGGGAGGAAAACCCCAGACAAATATTCAAGAGAAACCAATGGAATCACGTAGGGACTAAAAACCCAATGCACATGCTGACCTAGGTGGGATATGAACCTTGGCCACAGAAGTGGAAGGCAAGGAAAGAGCCCCTAGACTCCCAAAGATCATGTTATTTTCAAATGAAAACATACCTCTAACATTCTGCTTTCCGGACCACCATTTCTTATTATGTACTGTGACAAACTCAAAAGAAAATGTGTTCCTAACTGCTGAAACTTTTGGAATAAGAAGCAGGAAGATCTTCTCAGTTTAAAATTTGAGACTTGTTTTGCTTATTTGGTCACTTAAACAGATTCTTAAATTCAATTTCAAGACTTATTTTAGAAGGAGGGTCATGGAACCTCTAAAAAAAACCAGATGACACACCTTTTATGTAAGAATGTGGATAGTATGTTTGTTAAATATAGCATGACTGTTTCAGGAAAAATCAATATTAGGGATGAATTCCGATGCATGTGTTTTGCACATACTGTACACTGGAAGATGACTGTACCGTCTAGCTACCAATGGCTTCCTCATCTCATCAGTCACTATTGATTTTTAGCAGCAATGCAGGCAATCTATGGGGGAGGGAATCACATTGCTGCCTGCACGGTGGCCTTGTGATGATGACAGAAATCTACTTTCAAAGGTTCTTTTCAGAGAGATTTCTGCTGACTTTCCAACTGTAATGTGTAAACAGATTTGGACAGCCAGAGGCTTTGATTGCTGGGAAAGATTGCTGTTCTTGTCAAACTTTTTACACACAAAATCTGTTGAGAGCAGAATGAGAGAAGAGACAGTAGACACCTCTAGACCAGTGCTTGGATTGATCGGCAGATTCATGGGCCAATATGATGGGTTTGTCTGTCTGCTGGGCCCGGGGAGCTGACTGTGAAAAGGGCATTTGATTATTACTGCACCCTGTGCATAAGCAGCACTGACGGCAAGCATGCAGGACTCGGGGAAAAATGCATACTGGGCTAATTTGATTTCTTTTAACATTTGTAAGCTTTCGTGCTGTTAAAAAAAATTTCAAGCTGAAAGGACAGAACTAAAGCTGTGTCATCCTATTTCCATTACAACTGAAACTGAAACACTACATTTGAAGTTGAGGTTCTATGACTCATAAGATGACTTTCATTTGTCACTGCAGTGTGTACTCATTCGGCCTTCTTGCCCTACTCAATTTGTGCCTCTGGCCTTGATACCTGATTATAAATAGCCTTGGTGTCCTATTTGAACATTATCTTAAGGCCATTATGTCCTAGATTGGGGATCTAATGTCATGGCACCCTGCAAGGCTTTGAAATGGACCTTTCCCATGAAATATGCAAATAAGGTAGGAGCATGCACATTACCACCACTGGTTGGCAAAGTTGCTTAAATCTGTGATCTAATAATACAAATGCGCAACTATGACCACATACACACCATTTCTGTTTTAGTATAGTTCACACGAATGCCAAACTTACAGACTAAGAATTGTTACTCTCCAACCTCAGGACACTGAAAACTTCACTTAGTTTAAAAAAGCGTGCTCAAGTATCTGGCAAAGTCTGTAATACAGTTTGGATTGACCCTCACCACACCAGGTTATGGTTACAGCAGCTCCCCTACACTGCCAACAGTGTTGATGGCCGTGCTTGCCAACCAGTGGTAGTAGCATGCATGCGCCTGTCTAATTTGCATATTTCTTGGAAAAGGTCCACTGTATTGACAATGACACTTCTAGCTTTCCTGTAGAATGAATGTGTGCACATGTAATTTACATACGTGACTTGACCCTGTCAGAATAGGTCATACATGTAGGGCCAATGCCTGCCTGACTCTACTGTCTTTTTCTTCATGATAAGGACATGCTATCATTAAACGCTATGATTCTAGCTTAAAAATCGAGGAAAGCAACCAGTTGAGCTTGGTTGTAGTGTAGACTGCCATAACAAAAAAATGCCTGACCCCACTCGGAAGTTTAAAGAACAAGAGATTTATTTTGAATCCTGGAGAGTACCCACTCTCCAGTCGTTCATCCAGTGCATCTGGCCACACTCGTGCAATGGTCTATAGATAAATCAAGTGATATCCCCGATTTTGTACAGAGCGTCGTTTAAGAACAGTGTCTCCATATAATTGTTATTACCAAGACTCCTGTCATCACCAGAGGGGCCACACTGCAAATGAGCAGTGGTAAACCTACCATGGTCACTAAATTCATCTATGTATCTGGTTCATATCGTGTGGCATGATTTCAGTTTAAACAATGCCCACTGCACATTGAGTTCCATAGACCAAATGGAACCAGAAGCTAACACACTTGAGTATTCATCCAAAGGGAGCTTGTAATCTGTAGTGCATGTGTGCGAATGAGGAAATCACTTACAAATGGGATATCTGAGTGACACTCTGAGGCAGTATGATTCAGGCATGGCTTCTCTTTTTTTTGTACGAGTCCCGAATATTGTGCAGTTCACTGGCTTGTTTGTTTTTTCAAGATGTATTGAAAAGCAGGAGGTTGTGGGT